CGCTTCAACTTTAGCGAATCGGATAAAGTAACGATTGATTTGAAAAGTCATTGAATTCAACAATAGAATATACGAATGATTTATTTCATGACTATTAAGGAAATGTAGATAATCTACTTGAAATTGGACTTGAGAAAAAATGAAGCAAGCCATTTACTTCGGTCTAATGGAGAACGTGTCGTCTTGGAACTCATTACCAATTTATTTCTCATATAAAATGTTGACGCTCGCTGTCTACAATCACAAATGACTAGCAATACAAACACACTTTACATTGAAAGCAGAAAAAGAAATCATTTGAGGTTTGTTCTGCGCGTACGCACTAGATAGGCACTGTTTTTGTTGAGCATGCGCCGGATGCGGTTCAAGTGGCTTAAGAAGTGTTCCCGTAATGTGTTTATAATTTCAACTTAATTGTTTGCTAAATAACTTTATAATATATGTCATTATAATTGTATCAACATTAGCAAAGTCTTTGCTTTACATTTCATGACGTTGTTTGAGAAAGAATAACGATCTTCGTGGAGCGTTCTGAGAAACATAATCGTGGATCTTTATTTTAGCAGTAATTATGGTGGCTGTTTGATCCAGAAAGAGATTTGAGATCTTTATAATTTTTGTAAAGGTTATTTACCGATTTTAAAACAGTTTCCCTATGTTGTCCCATGTTTCAATAGTTTTTTTCCATATTTTAGTCCAATATATTTTGATAACGTGGTTAAAACGTCATTTACCTATTAGCTGCAACTGATCAAAACTATTATATATAAAAAAATTAAATTCAATAAAAACAACAGCGTTTCCCTTCATTATAATAACCTATGCAATCATTAATTTAATATTATAATTCACACGTCAAATTAAAAAAAGCTAGAACGATATAAAACAAATGATGATAACGATTTTTACTGCAGCTATAATAAAAATTATTATTGTAATTATAAAATAATAATTAATAATAAAAAAATTGACGTTTATTATTAATAGTTAGTTAATATATGCATGCAATAATAAGTACGAAATAATATTAACCCACGCGTGCAGTAAACGTCAATATGGAACAACTTCATAATGTCAGTAATATTTATAGTTATAAGTTAAAGTGCTAAAAGGGAAAATAATAAAATTTCCGACTGGTTGGTCCTCATAAGAATATCTTAAATATAATATTCGATACAAGTCATAAAACGATTTCTACTCACAGAGAAACTACTGGAGATAAGTACCTAAGTACTTGTAATGTATGTGGGTAGGTGGACCTTTGCAATTGTCAATAGGGGAAGATGTATCTAACATTTTTTTTATTAGATTATATTAGGTATAGATAGATGTCGTGTTGACAATGATGATGTGTTTAGAGTTTTGTATAGATAAGGTCGTAGATAAAAATAGCCTATGTGTTAATCCATTTCCTATCTCCCGAGAATTCTTCGCGCGCCTCAAAGAGCTAATAGACCACCACAGACATGGTCCTACAGGGCTGATGTTTAGCCGGGGTTGCGGGGTAAGCGCAATAAGGCACCGCGGCTTCGTCCTAGAGCAGGAGAAAGGACGAGCGGTTTTTAGTCAGTTTAAGAGTCTGACACTCCCGCCAAATATAGAAGTAGGTAATTTAATGATTTCTCCCTTACAAAAAAAGGGTATCACCTTTCTACATAATAATTTCAATCAAATCGCTGTGTTGGTGTTTTTACGTGAAAGAATAAGAGCGAAAGGGACCTTGAGCAGGAGAATTCATTTAATAATTTTCTCTCGTCAGACGTTTAAAATGAGTAATTCCACGTCGCAAATTGTTGTTCAAAAGTTATTATCGTGGGTGGCTATGGATAGTATTGTCTTTCTTGTATGTCTTTACCAATCACGAGACCACAGGGTCCCGGTCATTTGGAAGGCGTACGAGGGGCCGGAGCCAACTGCGCAGAGGCCCTTTAGACAACTTTAATCTAAATGACGAATTCGGGCCTCGCGGACAAAGTTCATAACAAGAAGAAAAATGTGATATACAAGAAAAAACTGAATCCTTTCGAAGTCCACATTAACAGGGAGAAACTTAAAGTTTTGGGTAAGAAGTCTAAGCATATTATTATAAGTTTTCTTTCGCGGTTTGTTCTTTGTATACTCATCAATCGAAAGGCACTAGTCACGGTCACACGGAAACTATTCATTTACATGACTGCACAATAGGGTGTACCGTTCTTTCTTTCTTTACAAAATATAAGTAAATCTCTTCATAAAAAAATGAAAAACCCAATCCGCATTAGGATTAGTTTTGCATCTTAAATCTTTACCTTCTTTAAATGCTAATCTATTCTTAAAAGTCTTTTGACAAAGTAATACAGTTTTGCGTTGGAATGTAACGAACTATTAAAGGAGGACCTGCTTCTGTATGCGGTTTCGCCCGCGTCTTATGTTGATAAAAGCAGCCACAAGACACAGTGTAACACATCGATCCATAGTTTTACCTATCTACCAAATATCAACTAAATCCGTCGAGCCATTTTTGCGTAAAAGAATAATAAATATATATCCATAACGTACATTTTTTTTTTTGTAATAGGTCATCAAACGAGCAGACGGATTAGGTACCTGATGGTAAGCAATCAGCGCCGCCCATGGACACTCACAACGGAGGAGTTACGAGTGCGTTGCCGACCTTTTAGGGATGAGGGATTTGGAGATTTAGGGATTGAGGAGGGATTGGGGAAGGGGAAGGATTGGGCCTCCGGTAACCTCACTCACACGGCGAAACACAACGCAGTAGTTATTTCACGCCGGTTTTCTGTGAGGCCGTGGTATCACTCCGGTCGAGCCGACCCATTCGTGCATTCTCACACATTTTCAAATATATAGTCTTTATGACCGTAGGACAAACATTAAAAACATCAATATGTATATTTATCATAGATATGCGGAATGCCTTTATGTAGATCTCTTTTTTTAAAATGGCTAAAGGAACTAGGTAACATTTTAAATCTCGAATAGTATGTAACTAAAGGTAGCCATTGACTATGCCTCCATAGATTCAAATAAAACGGACGTCTTCTATAATTATGACGTAAATATTATGTACATATGTCAATAAAATGGCTGTCTTCCAGCTTAGGATTCGTAAATGGATTGAAAACCATGTATCCATTTTAAATTAACTTCATTCGCCGATGGCCATAATGTCAAAAACGTGCACCATGAAATTTGTAAGACGTTAGCATCGTCTATGACAGACAGACATACGGGATATCTAAACCAATTTTATTGCGATTATATTATTTTTATCAAAATTGTTTACGGTGTCGTGGGGCGTTGTGGGGCTAGCGCAATAAGGTACCGCACTCTCGATCAAATGCAACAGAAGGAACGGGGGTATATTACCTACTTATTAACAGTTTGGCACTCAAAAAAAGGGTACCCGGATTGTGAAGACCATTTTTATAAAAAATATGATAAATTTAGACTGGACCATCATATAGGAAAGCTACTTTCTAAAACTGCGGGCAGAACCTGAGCCCCTTACAGATTCTGATAATGGCCACCCGGGTGGTTTTAGTGAAGTAAAAAACCCACAGTCCGAAGTCTTTCTCCCCATAAGTTTAGGGTTCTTTTTTGCTTTGCCCCCACTCTAAAAAGGAGTCAACAAATTTTAATACTTGTAAAGTATTTAACACCAGTAGCAGAATAGATTGATCTGGGTACTATCCGTTTTTTCCTTTATTAATGGTTTTAAAATGTCCTCATAATATATACTCTGAAACATGTAATCGTTAAATTTCATGCTTTCCTTTTCACAAGTATAAATTTTCTTGTACACAACCATGTAACATGTCTATAAATATTAAATTGTTATTGCTATAGTAGTCGTTCTATCCGTGTTTAGCCACCATTAACATAGACATAATATAATCCTAGTGGTCAACGAGTAATGACTTATTTTGTGAGTCCTTCATCAAATGAGGTTGTTACGTGTTCACGAAATAGTTCGGTAGGTAGGTAAGTACTGGCCATTACAAACGTTTTCTTTCGTTCTATTTTTGAAAAACTTTTTTTATTATGGCGCCTTTTTGGGTCCACATTTCATGAAGTTTTTAGGTGTTCTTTATTGTGTTTATGAAAGTTATAGTTTTCATATCTTAATTTATGTAGTTGCATTCATTATGTTTTGACCAATGACTTGTTGAATATGGTGTAGCTTTAATACGAGTACGCTCTAATCGCGTAAAATATAGACAATGTACCTACATAATTATGACAGAAATATAGTTATAATTAGCTACTTAAATCCCTGTGTTATGAGCTATTTCATTTTTCACTTTCCCTTATATTTATTGACTTTAATTAGAACCAAAGACGGAGTCATATTGAATCACTAGGCTGAAGTCGAAATAAACGAACAGATGTAGTAACATTTAACTTTTAAAGAATTGCCGCCAATGTAGCACACTGACAGAACAATTGCCATATATAATAAGATACCAAACATTCAAACAACCCAAACGCCCAACCAATCAGGAACGCCTAACCAAAATGCCTAATCTCCAAACTATTTTTATAGCCCCAATAAAGTGATATTACGAAAGCCAATAGGCAATAACAAACTTTCAAACAATAGTTACAATGGTTGTGCATTATTAAGCAATTTTGGGGCCCATTAATCCAATAACAGGGGTAATAATAATATTTGATAAGCATGTAATTAGACTATCTTTGATCGATGTTATGATAAGTCAGATTGGATTGGTTTCTGATCGAATATTATGTGATTATATTTGTATTGTTTCGACAGCGGTTTAGAGTACTATTTTCGCAATGACCGTGTGATGAGTGCCTTATTTTAGAAATGGAGTTATGACTTTTGATTGGTGTTTGTTTTTGAGGCTATAGTTAAAATAATGGAGGCAAATGGGTTTATTATTATAGATGAAACTACTTGCTCTGATTTGATGAAACAAGGTTGTAGAATAAAAAATTTGAACAGAGCATTTTGAATATAAGACTTGCAAAGCACTTCAATGGCATGGGGCGTGAATGTCCATGGTTGGTACTGATCGCTTTCCATCATTCGTCTCTCGGTTCCCCTGCTGCCCTATGCTATGTATTATACGCAGTGTAAGATCCACTGCTATAATACGCAGGACTGCAAGCAAAGAGCCATTAGGGTAGCACAGATGGGGTCCACTTGGGTCGATGTCTAGCTGAAGCTGAAGTGCAAACGTAATAATTTACGGTAGACGTTGTTGTAGGAGAAAGGGTGGTTTTAGGTAGTTTTTATCTAGTCTGGTTTTTAGGTAGTAGTAAGAGTCTAACACTATCTTGCCCCACCCAGGGCGCGAGAAATCATAAGAAGCAGGAAGAAAGGATTTCCAAAAAGACTATGGAGTACCTGTGTGTATTCAATTTTCATGTGTGTGAATGTAGATTACTTATTACTCATTTTCATAATTTGTTACAAAAGAGAGCCAACTTTTGTATAAAAAACGAAAATATTTATATAAACTAGCTACTCTCACACGGTTTCACCCGCTCTGCTCGACTCCGTTTAATCGTAGCGTGATACTTTATAGCCTATAGCATTTAGGAATATTGTAGCTATTTATCAGTGAAAGAATTTTGGCAATTCGACCAACGGTTCCTAAGATTACCCTCTACATACAAACTTACAAACATACATACTTTATAATATTAGTATGAATAAAGTAAAAAAAGTCAGCAGTTCAGCACGATCATTAGCCAAACAGTGGACTAAACTTGAACAATTTTATATAAACTTAAGCTCCTGACTTCGGTCGAGTTTGACACAGCCATGTAATCATATGTAACTTTGTAATTTGATCACACAGGAGCATAATCGTTTATTATTACGCTAAGCAGAAACTAATGTGGTTTTAATACTTCTATAGCTTCAGTATACGTTAATTTGGTTGGCGAAAAAAACCATTTTGGTTAGTAACAAAAGCATGGGGTTATAATGGGATGGTAATTATTTGACGCCATTTTGGTAGGGTTAAATAAAGTCGTTCTTTGTGCTTGTGTGTACATATGTATGTTTCTATTGTATATTTATTGGTATGATTACGTTAGTGTCTGTAGTGACTCCTGAAAATTCGTCTTTTAGCATTCAATTTTAATAAATTGCATCAAAATACTTACTTTTACTTACTGCAGATAATGCAGAGTAAATACCAACCTTTACGTGGATAAAAATACTTATAAAGCGTTTAACAAGAGATTGTACTACGTATTAGTACATATGTTTGAATTAATAGATAAAAATATTTATTTGTTTTTTTTTTTAACAGATACGTATCTGAGGCAGCCATTGCTTTCGCATTTATTGGTCGGCTCGACTGGAGTGATACCACGTCCTCACAGAAAACCGGCGTGAAACAATCACGACGTTGTTTCGCCGTATTCACCTTCACGTAAGTGAGGTTACCAAGTCTTCCTTTCCCCCAATCTCAAAATCTCCAAAAGGATGGCAACGCACTTGTAGTAACTACTCCGACGTTGCGGGTGTTCATGGGCGGCGTCGATTACTTACTATCAGGTAATCATCCGTTGGCTCGTTTGCCGTACTGTCACATAAAAAAACTAAAATAAATCACTACAAAAAGCAGCTTTTCATATTTCTTTATCCAACCATTCAAAATAAAATACGAGATGGTGCTCTGCAAAGCAATTCAACAAGACAACATGGACGCAAGCAGCTAATCAGCCATATGTCCAAAGCTACCATGTTATAGAAAAAAAAGAAAAAACCTAATGTATTCTCGATCCCCAACCTAATAGTGATGTAACGACACAAAAGCTTGTAATTTGACGGCCATGCGTTTAGTGAGGTGCTACAAATTGATTCTTATTATGGGTTCCGTATACGAATTAGGAAAGGGTTGAAAGTTCTTAGGGTCGTTCTTGTGATTACGTTTATTGTTTTTTTTTTGGGTGGTCTAGCAAATGGAGAGGTTGTAAAGAGTTTAGGAGGATAAATTGTTCGATACGACATGTGGTTTCGTAATAAGTTGTAATAAGGTCGATCATTGCGACTGTGCATTTGACTTTATGCATTTATGTAAGGTTTTTGAACTCGATTCATGTTTTAGCAATAGGAATAAAGCATGATACGATAAAACAGTACCTAAAAGTTTGAGTGACGAATACGATCCCTTACAATGGAATTGAACTGACAAAAATCGAACAAACTTTTCAATAAGGCATCAAGAAGATCAAGATCAACCATATTTATCTAAGAGCAAAGGATACAATCCCGCAACTAGTTAACACTGATGAGAATAACAATAAAAACCTGATTACCTACAATAGGTAAATAATGAAAACAAATGTTCGTCACCGGCGTTATTAACTAGACAATTCTATTTAATTACAAACACAAGTATTATTACGTGCACTCCACTCTTGACATTAATAGTAATTCAAAATGCAACGGAAATGTGCCCTAGAAGACAATAATCAAGAGATGGTAATCAGAGGTAGTGTGACAATTGTGAAGTAGGTACTCATACAGTCTGTAACCGTCTGTAAGTCTGTACCAAATCGCATTTTAATTAGTTAGATAAGAGCCGCCATTAGCTAGCAAATTACCCGAGGAACTGTTTGTTTTATTTTATTTCTCCTTATCAGGTAATGTTGGATCTTGTAGTTTAAATTGCCGGAAAACGTGCGGTTGTAGTGACAGCGGATTTTGTTAATAAAGCAATTTGATTGGCTGGTTCAGTGTGCAATTGTTTCTTCATTGTTTTTTTTTAGTTCACGTGGATTATTTGAATAGAAATTGTGGTAGTTAAAATAATATTGCTTGATCGTGTTGGATGAAGTTTGCTGTTGAAATTCACATTTGAATGTGAGTGGGCAGCGCTGCTTTCTGATATACAAACCTAAACTTTTTCGACTCCGATCTCTAAAAGACTTGCCAAAATTTGAGATATACCTCTCGTTAACCACATCTTATATTTCAGCAGAGAATTATCATCAGAAAACATTGATGATTATTTCTGTATTTATAATATTTTTGCAATTAAAATATCTTGATTTGGCTCATGAGGTTGTTGACATGTGTAGTGTGGACTCGGCTACCATTGCGCCGATAGTTGTGTCGGCAAATGGGTTAGTCCCCAAAAAGCCTCGACAACCACCTTAAGAGGCTGACGCTAGGCGGTTGGATCAAGGGTCTCATACAGAAGGCAGTCCGTCTTGAAACGGCGCGTATTGTGAAGAGATTTTTGTCTTTTGAGCTCTAATCACCCATTGCTTGGTCCTTGCTTCCGCTGCCGGTTGGCTCCTATTTTTATATTTTAAAATATTATCTCATTGTATTTTTATAGTAATATTTTAAAATGTAATTTTAGAGTTATTTAAGTGTCGCATATTGGTTTCGTGCATCATAGGTGCGTTTACATACAGATATACAATGTAATAATTACATAAAACATTTATAGAAACAATACACTTAAACCAATTCTAGTTTCCGATACGTACCTAATATTGTAATATCCAATTATTATGATAACATTGGCATTTCTGTATAAATTACATTTTGTTTCCTATTTCCAACCATATAACTACCTGCGAAAGCATCTGATGATAATAATTTAAAAACAATGTCATAAATAATGTAATTTTGTTAAGTAATGATGAAAATATATCAACTCGTTAGGAGGGACATTTTTCCTATTTTGGTAAGCGCGGTAGGTATATTCACTTCGATCATTGTAATTATTACAATTTCATGTTGCATTAGGTATGTAAGTTCCTTTTTTGAGCGGGGAAAAACATCTAATAAATAATAAATAAATTTTATTCAAAGTATCAAGACTGTCAGAACCAGTATTTACTTAAAATCTATGTATGTTAGTATCAATTTATAGGTACAAAATAATTTTATTATTGAACCATTGCTTCACAATTCCCGCTAAAACTATGGAGCAACAGTTAAAACATGGCTATCCAGCCTATCTGCAATCATGCTCAGGATGCTATTGGAGCTGGCCTCCACCCGGCGCTCCAAGGATAAACATCTTTTTCTCATGAAAGTGTCGAAACAATCGAAAAACAACGAACATCCCCGATGCACTACAATAGGCAGCCCCAAATCCTTAACGCATTATTATAGTTGTAATGACTTCTCCTGCCTTGGATTGACCGCGAGAGATAGGTACTTATACAATTACTTATCTGAAACACTATAAGTAAGTATCTACATTCCTAGGATCCATTGGCTCATACACTTTCCTGGCTTTCCGCTAATACCCGCCCGCTGACGCTGAGACCACGAAACAAAATGGCGGCAAACAGTCATCAGACGCATTCATTTTACAATATTTTATACACATTCTATTGCATTTGTGTGTACATTTTTTATATCATTTAATTTCCTGTGAGCTAGAGATTGTTCTGATGTGCTTGTAATGTGATTTCATTTATTTAGTTACGTGATATTTCATGTTTTTACTTGAGAATCAGTGTCTAGCTTATGCGATTTTGTTTTTCTTGTGATTAATGTTTTACTCTGTTAAACGCCATCTACCGAAATGGATGGGAGAATTGTAAATTGTAAAATGTCTTATGAGCGTGATGCCACCTTTTTCTAACTTACAGTCAAGGTTTCCTGTATGAGGATTAGTAGTTTTTCTTCACATTATGTACCCATATATCGATATCAATGGAATAAGCATCATCATCATCACCTACACAACATATTATTATACAAAAAGTACAGGACGCAGCGAAAGTCGGGACCGAATTATTTATTATAAAATAAATCATTGTAGAGCTTTTTGTTATTTTAAAGATGGAATCGATGGACAAAAACCTCATAGAACGTCAGTTTGCAACTGCGTAAACAACTCGCTGACCAACAAGGCAGTATAGAGCTCCATTACTACTCACAGGCTAAAAACACATAAATCTTCGGACAAAACCGTACAAGATCGTTTAGCTTCTCTGATGGGCACCTTCATAGCAGGGTACTTTATTTTATGAAGCAAGCATACTTCTACTTCTGACCACTATCCCTTATCACCACGCTAGTACGGGAGTCCTTCCATCAACCATTGTAATGGTCAGACGACATTATTTTTACGACCTTCATAAGTGATCCTTTTTTATTTATTTTTAGTGCAAGGGACCGCGCGTGCGCCTCAAATGGGACCCCGTGATAACTCTCACTTTTAAATCCATG